TATTCTTCTTGTATCCTTAGATTTACATTCCGATGACTCTTGGATGTTGAAGACGTTTAGTCCCCTAACTTTTGATTGATTTCTCACTTTTTGGTCTACTAGTTGTGGTCCCGCGCGCTTCGCGCGCGGGTACCCCAATGGCGGTGATTATTATTAGTAAGTAATGTATCCGGTGGTTCTGTTACACGGTAATTATGTTTGCGTAGTGTGTGCATGTCGTAAGAATTTAAAGTAATAAAGGCAATCTAAGAGGGAAATGTTGCATTCTAAGTTATTATATGAGAAAGATGTAACTTAAATTATGTTATTAGAAAGAAGTAATTTGAATTATCATGTTAAAAAGAAGTAATGTTCTTAGAATCAGATCAAAAGATGTTGTTACAATAAGAAGTATAAATAGTTCTAATTTTAATATCATATTGGCTACAAAATTAATGATATAATGTAATAATAATCATTCAAATAAGAGTTTTAAAATTATTTGTTGGTTTGTGGGGGTAAATGCAAAAGTTCGTTATAGTTAATGGCGAAAGGGCTAAGGACGTATAAGATAAGGTGGTTATTTGTGTTTTTAAATAATTGCTATTATTTTCATAAGTGTTCTTCTATTCTTAAGCATTTTAGTAAACCTCTTCCAAAGCTAATTGTCCGGTCGATTTTTCTTAAGTGGTCTTTCTCTCTCCAAAGCTAATTACCCTAATTTTTTAAGTGATCTTTCTTAAGTAGTCTCTCTCTCCCCATAAACTAATTGAATTGATTTTCTTAAGCGATCTTTCTTAATTAAGTAGTCTATCTCTCTCTTTCCTAAGTGATATTTCTCTCTTTTTGAATGATTGATCTTTCTTAAGTGGCCTCTCTCTCTCTCTCTCCCACTCTCTTTATAGCTTTTAGTAACTCTTTCTCCTAAGCTAATTTCTCTTATTTTCTTAAGTGGTCCATCTCAAATGATCTATGTTTCTTAAGTAGTCTCTCTCTACTTCTATAGATTTAGTGCAATAAATTTTGGATCAGAAACATACATATAATGATGATTGTTTGGAAGTTAAATCTGGAGCAATGAAAATTAGAATACAATGGCAATGAAAATTAGAATACAATGGCAAGTTAGTTCGAGAAATGGATAAAATTATATCAAAATATTAGTAAACTTAAATAAAATACACATTTTTGAAGTTAGTAAACTTAAATAAAATACACATTTTAAAAGCAATGAAAATTAGAATACAATGGCAAGACCGTTAAAAATATAACTCAGAGCCACAAGGCAGTTTACTAAACAAAGATTCATATAAAATAGCTACACGTGTACAATATGGTATAAATTAAATAGTTTCAACATCAAAAACGGCAAAAAAAAAGGTAAATAAAAAAAGGCAATTTGATTAATAATCTGTAATTGCAGCAAAATGAAGGATATTCAAGCTATCAAAAGGCTCCATTCTCAACCAATAAGCAACATAAAGACAAAAGGTGTTTTTTATAAGAAAAGGTGCTTGATACAGTGCAAGAAACAAATGATATTGAACGACTGTCGAACACTTTAAAGATGAAAAGAAATTGTGCTTGATATAGTGCAAGAAACATATGATACTGAACGACTGAAAACTTTAAAGATGGAAAGAAATTATGACAAGGCTAATTAATATTACTTATTTAACGATGTAGCGCGCGGTACCCCAATGGTGGTGATTATTATTAGTAAGTAATGTATCTGGTGGTTCTGTTACACGGTAATTATGTCTGCGTAGTGTGTGCATGTCGTAAGAATTTAAAGTATTAAAGGCAATCTAAGAGGGAAGTGTTGCATTCTAAGTTATTATATGAGAAAGATGTAACTTAAATTATGTTATTAGAAAGAAGTAATGTTCTTAGAATCGGATCAAAAGATGTTGTTACAATAAGAAGTATAAATAGTTCTAATTTTAATATCATATTGACTATAAAATTAATGATATAATGTAATAATAATCATTCAAATAAGAGTTTTAAAATTATTTGTTAGGAAGGATTCAATTTAATTTTATCATGCTACAATAACTTTTAACATTAACTTTATATTCAATTTATACTACAGACACATCTTAGCTAAGACACCCTAAATTGAATTTAGAATTAAAAGAGCATATAACTTAGATTAAATTAATACTTAAATTGAATTAAATTGAATTTAGAATTAAAAGAGCATGCTACAGAAGTATAACTTTTAATATCATATTGGCTATAAAATTAATGATATTATGTATGTACTACAGAATATGAGATAGCTTCTGTATATACTACAGACACATCTCAGCTAAGACACCCTAAATTCAATTTAAGTATTATATACTAAATTGAATACAAAATTAAGTTATATTCAATTTAAGTTTTAATATCGTATTGGCTATAAAATTAATGATATAATATATATACTACTGAATATGAGATAACTTCTGTATATACTACAGACACATCTCAGCTAAGACACCCTTACGAATCCTTCCTAACAACAATTTAGGTACCAATATATATATATATATATATATATATATATATAGGGTCGGGATCCGGTGAGAACCACCTTCTATGTGAGAACTCATCCTATATGTGAGAACCAATCTCAGCCATCAAATTGTATTCAATCCAACGCATGTGATTAATCACATAAAACTCCTAAAAATCACACCTAACTGTCATCTCTCTCCACCTAGCTAACTAACTTCTCTCTCCACCACGAAGCTTCATCAATGGCGCCTAATCAGTAACGCTGTTTCTCATTGCTTCAAATTGGATCCTCCAAGTAATCATAAGCAAGTTCACACCGACCTCACTCGCCTTGCGCTATATTACTAATCGCGATTGCAATCGCTACTACGAATCAAATTCGCCAGGTTATTGAATTGCATGTTAATTGGATGATAATTTTTTATTTTTTGGTTTGTTCTGTTCTTATTGAATTGCATATTTAATTGCATCAATCGCCAGGTTATTGAATTGCATGTTAATTGCATGATAATTTTCGATTTTTAAGGTTTGTTCTGTTCTCATTGAATTGCTTGTTTAATTGCATCAATTATGGATTTGATTGAATTTACTTCTTTGAAATTTTTTGAATTAAATCAATAATTTAGGTTTGATTAATTTGATAGAAATTGGAAATTTGCAATCAAATTTAAAATGAGCAAATGAATTGAAAATGAGCAAACTTAAATATTTGTAATAATATAAAAAACATATAATGAGCAAACATAATTAAAATGAGCAAATCCAAAAAAAAAAAAAAGCAAATATAAAAAGGAGCAAATGAGCAAAATAAGTTGGTAATGGTGGTGGTGGTAGGGTGCAGGGGACAGGGGTGGCGGCGAGGGAGTGAGAGTGAGACAGGTTGTGGTGGTGGTAAGGTGCATGGACAAGGGCGGAGGAAGAAGAGAGAGTTTGGTGGTGGTGGTGATTGTACAGTATAAGAAAGAGGGTAAGAAATGGGATTCAGCTCATTAACATGAGTTGTAGAAGCAGTGAAAGTGAAAGAGGTAGCTGTAGCTAATGAGCAAATATTTAGTTGCTCATTTATCAAATGAGCAAGTGGTTGTGCTTCTTAGATTGAGCACTTCTGTGTGCTATGATAATTTGATATTACTGTGTGTGTGTGTGTGTGTGTAAGTGAGTGTAAGAGTGCATGTGTTAGAGTGTGTGTGTGTGTGTGTAAGAGTGTATGGTTTTTGTAGGCAAATATGCTATACTGAATGCTATATATGCTAGGTTTTGCAAATCATAGTGAAGGGTAGCATTATCAAGTTTTACTCCTTTTCAAATCATCTAGTTTCTGCTATCAAAGCATTGAGTTCCTTGGTTTTCTTGCCTGCACACAAGCCCCACCCCCCTTCTTCTTGGTCTGTTTCCTGCGCACCAACCACACTCCCTTCTTACACTTCCTTATACAAACCTATTCCCCCCTCCCCCCTCATCTTTCTGTTTGCACTTCTGATTTCTGAAGCTGATTTCAGATCTATTTTAGATTCTGAAATTATTTTTTTTGTGTGTGTGTGTGTGTGAGTAAGTGTAAGAGTTATGCTGTAAGTAGTAATTAATATGGTTAAAAACATGATGCAGCAACATAATGTTCTGATATGAGATTTTTAATGAGCTTCCTTAAACTATTTTATGGAATTGTTACTAACCTGTTATTTCTATTATATTTAATGTCAGAAATGATGAGCAACAACGAAGAACTTGACAGTCATTCTAGTACCATCACAAATGTGCCAACTACTCCTACAATAGTAGTTTCTTCTAAAGTAGCACCTTTGCTCACTCCTGGAGGAACAAAAGAATGGCTTCCAATATGCCCCAATGAGTTGAAACCAGCTATAGGGATGAAGTTTAATAATCTTGAAGAGGGCCTTGAATTTTATAAAAGATACGCATTTGCTGCTGGATTCAACACAAGAAAGTCTACAACTAAAAGGCAAAGAAGAAGCAAAGAATTGAAATCACAATATATCTTATGCAATAAAGAAGGATACAAAGAGAAAAGAAAGCCTACTGTTGAAAAAGATTTAAATAACAACGAAGGAGAAAGCAATGAAGAAAAAACTTCAATCAAAAGGAAGAGACTCGTTACTCGTGTTGGGTGCAAGGCACATATTGTCATAAAGCATTGTGATGATAACAAATTCATAGTGTCACAATTTCATGAGGGACATACTCATGCACTTTATACACCTAGTTGCAATCTCTTCCAAAAAGAAGGAAGAAAAATGAACATATTGCACAAAAAAATAATTGTGAATAATTCTAAGGTACGACTTTCAAAGTCTCTTATGTTTCATGAATTCTCTATATGTTCTAATAAAAGTTGTATGCTCATTTGAAAAATGAGCATTTAAATGTTTGTTTATTTGAAAAATGAGCATTAAATTGTTTGATCATTTGAAAAATGAGCATTAAATTGTTCAAATGAGCAAGCAAATAATTGAATTGTTTGCTCATTTTAAAAATGAGCATTTAAATTATTTGCTCATTTGACAAACTGTTTTGTTCTTTAAATAGATGAATATTGGTCCTCTTACAACTTTTTGAATGATGAAGGAAATTGTTGGAGGATATGATAACATCGGTGCATCTAAGCAAGATTTCAAAAAATTTCATAGAGATTTGAAAGCATACATTCAAGGAAGTGATGCTTAAATGTTCGTGGATAACTTTACCAACAAAAAGCTAATGTGGAGCGCTTTTTTCTTTGATTTTGAGATGGATGAAGATTATTGCCTTTGTAGAGCATTGTAGGCTGACCCCTTTTGTAAAAAGAGTTATGCTCTATTTGGTGATATGGTATCCTTTGATACCACATACCAAACCAATAGGTAATTCATAAAAATCACAATTCATTTTTATGTTATAACTATAGCTTAACTTAATAACTTTGTTTTAAATGAACTTAGTATAATTGTTTGCTTATTTCACAAATGAGTATTGACTTATTTGCTCATTTCACAAATGAGCATTCAATTATTTGCTCATTTGACAAAAAAGCAAACAATTGTTTGCTTATTTCACAAATTAGCATTGAGTTATAAGCTCATTTGACAAATGAGCAATCAATTATTTGCTCATTTGTCAAATGAGCATTGAATTATTTCAGTAGCTGATGACAATTCTGATTTCATAATCTGATTTCAGATTCTATTAGAGATTGTGAGTGCGTGTATGTATGTGTATGTGTGTGTGTGCGTGCGTGTGTCTGTATCTAAGTACGTGTGTCTGTGTAGTTATTTGATCATTTAAAATTTAATCTGTATGTGTAAACAGGTACAACATGGTGTTTACTCCATTTACAGGGGTTGACCATCATAAGAGCTGCATTACTTTTGCTGCTGGTTTCATAGCAAAGGAAGATATAGTGTCATTTGAGTGGTTGTTCAGATCATTTCTCAAAGCAATGGGTGGAAATGAACCGAATTGTATGATTACAGATCAAGATCCAGCAATGAAAATTGCTGTTAAAAGTGTGTTTAACAAGACTGAACATCGCTTCTGTATGTGGCACATGATGAAAAAGTTACCAGATAAGGTGGAGAAATCAATCATGCAAGAAGAAACTGGTTTCCTAAAAAAATTATGTGCTTGTGTTTGGCATCTTGAAATTGAACCTGCTGAGTTTGAAGAAAGGTGGAACAAGGTGATGGTTGAATACCACTTGGAAGAACATGAGTGGTTAGGTTATATGTACAAGATAAGGAACAAGTGGATTCCGGCGTATTTCAGAGATGTGTTCCTTGGAGGAATAATGCGTACAACATCAAGATCCGAAAGCGAAAATAACTTTTTCTGCTCCTTTATCAATCATCATGTGTCACTTGTTGAGTTTTACTTGAGATATGAAGCTGCAATTGATGCCCAGAGACACACTCAAGGTCAGAATGATAATGATTCAAAGCACAAATATCCTGAGTGCAAAACACCACTAGGGATAGAAAAGCATGCCTCACATTTATATACTAACACTGTCTTTTATGAATTTCAATATGAGGTTGAAATTGCTTGTTTTTCTTGTGGTGTTGATGAATTGAAGAAAGAAAATGGATTGGAAGTTGCAAAAGTAGGTGAAGGAAATCGGATTAGAACATTTGATGTTGTGTTTAATCCAACTAACTATGGCACCACATGTTCTTGCAAGCTATTTTATAGACAAGGAATTCCATGTAGACATATGATTTGGGTTTGGAAAGCAAAAAGGTTTGAAACCATTCCTGAGCAGTATATGCTACACAGATGGACTACTATGGCACTGAAAAAACCAATTTTTGACTTGGGTGGAAACCTGTTGGAGCAATGTGCTAATTTAATTGACAAGAAAAAATTGTTAAATGATTTATGGTCAGTGATACACACTTGTGTAAGTTTGGCAGAAGGCAATGATGAAGATATTCAAGATCTTGTGATAAATCTTCAAGGAATAAGAAAGGATTTGGAGGCTAAGAGGATTGCAAGGAATAATGAAACAACAGGAAGTGCAAACAACAAAGGACAAGACATTGAGCTATTGATTGGAGCTAGTGTGCCAACTGAAATAATTGTCAAACCTCCAAAAATTTCAAAGAATAAAGGGACTGGAGTTCATGTATCAAATGAAGAGACTTCAAAAGAGAAAGGGGCTGAGATTGATGTGCCAAATGTTGAAACAAGAGGTAGAAGTGCAAAAAGGCTGAAGGGAGAAAAAGAAAAGGCTATAGAACAAAACCAGAAAAAGAAGAGATTATGTAGAGGTTGTGGTGAATTGAGTCATCATGATATTAGAAATTGTCCAAACAAAGTATAATGATACTTTTATACAAATATAAAAGTTAATATTTTTATATAAATATAAGATTTAGCATTTTGTGTTTTTAATTTTGTTGAAATGAGCAAATATTTTGCAAGCTCTGTTATCTATCATACACACATGTAATTATACCAAAGCTATTCTAATGTCCCTGGTATCCCTACAATTCAACAAGTTCCTGGGGTCTAAACACAGCATTGCCTCAATTCACAGCTAGCTTTTATAGAAAACAAAGAATATGCACCTTCAGCAATTTAGAGTACAAATTTCCCATGGGGTCACATAATTGCTCCTTAATCCATGTGGTGAGGTCTCCTCCTTCACATGTCAGTGTCTTTACATAAGCTACCCTTACATAAAAAACCAACACATTATAATTGTGCAACCATTCTTTACTAAAATGATAAGCTACAAACAAGGGCCTTTACGCTAAATCTTCACTGCTCCCACACTATCTCTAAAACAAAGCCTCAAACCTCTTATGACATATTCAAGTTCCAAAGAATAGGCATTTTCAGCATTTAAACAATTTAAAAATTATATGCCAAAGGCAAATCAAAGACATTTAACCAATGCATAGCTATAATTCTGGATATTAACTAAGTATAGCACAAATGAACTTAACAAAGCAGTAAGCAGAAGCAACAGAAATAGTCCAATCCAAGATATTATACAATGAGTTCAGTAAAGAGAACAACCCAACATACCCTAATCTTCAAAATCATAGAGGCTAAATTAACTAGATATATGCTAATATAAAAGTTAATATTTTTATACAAATATAAAGTTAATATTTTTATATAAATATAAGATTTAGCATTTTGTGTTTTTAAATAGTTAGTTGCTCATTTGTCAAATGAGCAAATAGTTAATTAGCAATTTAACAAATGACCAACAACTTAATTAATAAGATAGAAAATGATATCCATTACATTGACATAGCAAAAGTTATACTTAGAAAATCCTAACAACATCATAAAAACATTTGATCAACTAAGAACATTTGTCACATTTGTCCTATTAAAACATCATAAAACTAACACTTCTATTGTTCTATACAAAAACTATACAAATCCTAAGAACATCATAACAATTGATCAACTTCAGTCTTTAACTCTCTCCGTTGATTGCTCTTGGATTGCTGCCCCTAGCTTTCATCAGCATCACTTGGTTCCTCAGCCTTTTTTTTTCTTTTGGACAACTTGTTTAGCAGGTTTAACAGTATTTACTTCACTTGAAATAATTGAGAAGGTATACTTCAAACGAAGTTTTTCAATAATTATGTCCTGCAAAGAGAAAAAATGAAGCAATAATTCAGGGTAAGTATAGGGTAAGTAATGGCTTCATGAATGAATATCAACAAGCTGCTCACAAATTTTAACCTAAATTGCAATTAAAATTAAAAATGGATAAAAAGTGCAAGTGTCCCATTCCAGAAGAAGCAAATTATAAAAATTGCAATTAGACTTTTTCTGGTTAGACAAGTCAGGTTCTACTGCTTACTTTACCGTCCTCCCTGATCTGCCACTATCCTTTATAATCTTCTTCACTTCGTTCCTTAATATTTTGGTGATGACTTATGGTGTATCTCATTCGAGATAAAACATTAAGATTCGGATATTAGTCTTCTTTCAGAATATTCAATATTAGCTTCATAAGATTTAATAACTAAAGAGAGAGATATCGAAGAAAACTCATATCCACTAACTTCTGATTAGTTTCTAAACCCTAACTACTATCTTACCTAAGATTGTTTTGCAATTATTATAACAAGAAGCTATCACTGATTGAGTGTGTTCGTTAACAAATATACAACAATATGAAGAGAATAGAGTACTCAAAGCTCAGTAAAGAATGCACATAAAACAGGTGCCTACCAACAGGATTTGCAGCAATTAAGTGCTCTCCAACACATTTAATACTCATATGAGAGGAACATAGCCTGTAAGTTGCAACAACAAGCATGAAATGTGAAAGACTTAAATTATTTTTCTTTAAACCTGAATTCCACTTTTGCAAACCCATATATGTTTCCATATGCCTCATCATTGCAACACCACAATACAAATGATGATCATTTGAAGACTTCCAGGATAAATCAATCAGTACAGACTCCATAGACTTGATCTGTTTTGACAAAACAACACTTTGTATACTTCCTTCACCATCCATGAAATATGAAAATGCACTTCTCTGAAAATGAACAAATAAGTTAAAATAAGAACAAAAACAGGTAGAACAAATATAGTCAGAACAAGCAGAACAAGATCAAGATAAGCAACTAAACTCTAATCATTTTTCTAAAATAATCTAACAAAATCTTGAGCCATTACTGCCACCTACCCACACAAACCTACCCACACATTACACAATTCTGATTTCAGAAACTAATTTCAGAATCTGATTTCAGATTCTATTACAGGTTGTATGTGTGCTTGTGTGTGTGTGTGTGTGTGTGTGTGTGTGTGTGTGTATGTGTGTGTGTGTGTGTGTGTGTATATTTTCTTGTTATGGGAGAAAGGAGAAATTCAGAGGAGAATCCTGAAAGGGTTAGGGTACCGCCGTCACTGGCTCCGAGGACATGGAATTTCATTCAGGGATATAATGAGAGGAGACATGAATAAGGAATCTGGTAACAACATGACAGGCATCAATGGGGATATTGATAATGAAGTGATTTATGATGATGATGAAGTGCCAGGAGACGTACCAGATTTTTAAGCAATTTCTTATTTTCTCTAGGACCATCACTGTAATCAATAACCTCAATTGTACCACGGTCTGTGGTGGTGTTAAAACATACCAGATAATAATGATCTTTTTCAAATACTGGGAAAAAGAAAAGCTCAATATCTTTCTTTGGGATGATTGTTTTGCTGAAATCCAACTCCACAACCTCACAAAACATTTTATTCCTTTCTTGAGCACGATCACTTTCGTATTGAAAAAGGCAATCCTAAAAAAATACATAAAGAAAAATACATAAATAAGATGAATATAAATGAAAAGAGTAAATAACAAATGAGCAAAGTGAATATGAAATGAGAAAAGTCATATAAAATGAGTAAATTGAATTTTTTTTTACAAATGAGAGTGAATGTTTTGCTCCATTGACAAATGAACAAAAAATTAACTGCTCATTTGGCAAATGAGCAAAAAATTATTTGCTCATTTGATAAATGAGCAAAAATTAATTGCTCATTTGATAAATGAGCAAACGGAAGACAATACACTACAAAGTGCAAACAAACAACCATGACATAATTATGCCTTGAAGATAACTATAATAGGCAAATTTCTTAAATTAGATCTATATTTCAAATACTTTATCAAAAGATTTTATGTTATTTAGTATCCAATAAGAGACTTAAATTAAATAAGTATTTGTTTTTTGCTCATTTGTCAAATAAGCAAGAATATTTGACAAATGAGCATTGAATAGTTTGCTCATTTGACAAATGAGCAAAGAACTAATAATAGTTTTTGCAAATACAAAACAACATCTACATTCAAATAAAAAAAATTATATGAAATGAGCAAAGTGAACATGAACAAAATAAAACAAAATAAAATGAACGAGTTGAACTTACAACTGCATTAAGACCGAAAAAGAAACGTCCACTAGAATTGATATCTCTATATTGCTCATTATAATTTAAAACAGTAGACCATGCATTAATGATATCGCCATGAATTTTTCTCTGAGTTTTTAGCATTTCAAGTTGAAATAGCATTACTTCACTATCAGGCTCACCCTCGCATAAAAACCCTGCATCACTACATATAAGATTTAGGGAAGTTAAAATAATTTCAATCGTAGATATGTAAAGTGAGAATATAAAGCTAGACTTGTTTTAAGAAAGAAAAATATGGTCAGTTGCCAATTTCCAGAACTGAAAAATTGAATAAATACTTACAAACGATTTTTCTTCTCATGAAAAAATGAATCCATAACACCTTTCTGAACTGCTGTTAATGGTGTATATATGTTGATAATCCGAGACTTAAAAAGAGATCTTATCTGCAACGATGGTTGCACTTTACGCTTCTTTGGAATACAACTCTCATTTTCAGCATCTCCTTTTCTCTTAAGCGCAATTGGATCTTCTTGAGCATTCACAGCATCAGCAGCATCAGCAACAGCAGCAACAGCTGATTTAGAAGCACCAACTTGTGCACTGACAGGAGCAACTACAGGTTCATCAGTAGGTGCAATGCCAGGGGACTTCTCCTGAGAATCAGTTTCTTGAGAAGAGATTCCTAAGCTGAATGAAGGAGTTCCATATCCTTTGGCAACTGAACTTCTTAAACTATATCTCATACTTGACTCTCCAAGTTTTTTAAACACATGTTCAGCAACCTTAGGCTGTATGATAACAGATGGAGCTTCAATATCAGGTATACCACTTGCTATGTGAACACATTCAAGCAATCTTAGTAACATCAATTGGTTCTGATTCAATCAGATGATCAACCCTAGCATTAATTGTAGATTCAGCATGCTTGTCATTGCCTGAAATCTTTGAAAACCTATCCCAAGCTTCAATTACAGCTGGATCTTGCCAATACTGTTCATCTTGGCTAAATGAGAGAGGAATATCTTCAGTCAAAGCTTTAGAGCTCATCTTCTGCTCATCACAAATGGTCATTACATCTTCCTTCAGCTTTTGAATCTTCTCATTGTTTGGAAAATACTTAACAGTAGTTTCATGTTTTTGACTGAAATCCATGTATGCCAAGACTAGATTTGTAGATGCTGTTGCAAGCTCCATAAGGCATTTCTATAAAAAAAAAAAAAAAAAAAAAAAAAAATACATAATAAGATTAATATAAATGAAAAGAGAAAATATGAAATGAGAAAAGTGAATATGAAATGAGCAAAGTGGATGTGAAATGAGCAAAGAAATGTGGTACAGAAATGTGATATTAACCCTATCCTCCCTAAGATACAACCATAAGATGTATCTTAGGGAGGATAGGGATTGGGCTGATAATTATGATGTAGATTCAGACAACTTTTCATGGGTTAGCTTAGGGGAGGAGGCACAAATCACTATTTTACAAGGTCTGGGCAGAGTTCCAAGTCTGACACTAATATGGTACAAGGGTAGGACATGTAAGCTACGTATGGGACATCCATAGTTAGGGTGTCACCAGGTCAGGATTGGGGCTGGGGAATGACCATATACTCACTTCTACCCTTGTACAAGTTGCAAGCTCTGTTATCTATCATAAACACATGTAATTATACCAAAGCTATTCTAATGTTCCTGGTATCCCTACAATTCAACAAGTTCCTGGGGTCTAAACACAGCATTGCCTCAATTCACACCTAGCTTTTATAGAAAACAAAGAATATGCACCTTCAGCAATTTAGAGTACAAATTTCCCATGGGGTCACATAATTGCTCCTTAATCCATGTGGTGAGGTCTCCTCCTTCACATGTCAGTGTCTTTACATAAGCTACCCTTACATAAAAAACCAACACATTATAATTGTGCAACCACTCTTTACTAAAATGATAAGCTACAAACAAGGGCCTTTATGCTAAATCTTCACTACTCCCACACTATCTCTAAAACAAAGCCTCAAACCTCTTATAACATATTCAAGTTCCAAAGAATAGGCAATTTCAACATTTAAACAATTTAAAAATTATATGCCAAAGGCAAATCAAAGACATTTAAACAAGGCGTAGCTATAATTCTGGATATTAACTAAGTATAGCACAAATGAACTTAACAAAGCAGTAAGCAGAAGCAACAGAAATAGTCCAATCCAAGATATTATACAATGAGTTCAGTAAAGAGAACAACCCAACATACCCTAATCTTCAAAATCATAGAGGCTAAATTAACTAGATATATGTTGATAGTTAAAAAATAAAAAGAAAAATTGATATCGGATTCAATTAATATGCACAACTCAAAGGATATTCACCATGAAAGTCACGCTCACCTCATAACAACTCCCACACCCCCAACCTTTTTAACCCCCCAACTCTTTCATCGCACGGCAACCCCCAAATTCACAAAACAACAATACAAATTCACAAATTAAGTAAAAAATAACAAAAATTAGGAAAAAAAAAAACAAAAAATGAGCAAAGTCATATTCGCAAAGTCAAAACATGACAGTTAGGTCGAGCACTCAGAGCTAATCGCAAAAGAGCTGCTAAAACAATGTATTACAAAGAACCAGAACATAATCACAACAAAATAGCAACAAAAACGCAACATATTCGCAACTAAATCTAGCAAAAATCGCAACAAAACCACAACATAATTTCTCAAATACACAACCAAAGCAAGAACACTTGTAAAAACCTAAATTCAAGCAAAATAAAACTAAAACTAACTTGATAATTACTCAAAAATACGAAAATAAAACTAAAATCAACAAAAAAAACAAAATAAAACATATTCGACACAAAGTAACCTAAAATTAATGAGCTAAAATAAAAACAAATTAAACGAAAAGCAAAACGAAAATAAACAACATAATCGCAACAAAATCAAGCAAAAATCGCAACAAAACCACAACATAATTTCGCAAATACAAAACCAAAGCAAGGACACTTAGTAAAACCTAAATTCAGCCAAAATAAAACTAAAATTAACTTGATAATTACTCAAGAAAACGAAAATAAAACTAAAATCAACAAAAAAAACGATAATCAGAACAAATTAAACGAAAATCAAAACTAAAACAAACAATGAATGTAACATAAAATTAATTGAAAAACAACAAATGTATAAACAATAGACTTACATTAACGAAGAATTGATGAAGATTGAAGAACTTGTGATGAAAAATCAGAGAGCAACAGAGTAGAAAACCGTAGAATTGAAGGAGGAGAGAGAAAATTGAGCGAAAAAGAAGGAGGAGGAGAGAGAAAAAACGCAGGAAATAAATTTGTTTTGTTTTACCGGGTTGTATTATGACTGTTGGATGTAATTGATCCAACGGTTGTTTTGGGTGTTTTTAGTCCCTCGGGAGAGTTACAATACGGAGTATGCGCGCTTGACTTCTGTACCTGCAAAACCACGAAACTCCTGTTGGGTGGAGTTCCGCCTCCGACGATCAAGTTAGTATGATTTACGGATGGGTAAACGTGCGGAAAGTAAATAGGTATATCTCACTGATTCAGAGAGATTCCGCAATTAATATTGCTCGGGTTTTGTGTATGTATTTTTGAATGCCCAATAAATGAGGAGGATTCCTCTATTTATAGCAGATGAGAATCTGCTCCCCCATTGGGGGTTCAATGCCACGTGGCATCCTCTGATAGGATCCCCTTGGACCTATATTAGGGTGACACGTGTCAGGCCCTCATTGGGCCACGTGGCAGGGGTAATTTTTACCCCAAACATTTGCCCCTCACAGGTGTGACGTGGCGTAGCCACGTGTCACCTGTGACAGGTGTCAAGCACAGGGGAGGCGACGATTGAGTTGCTTCCCGCCTCTCTCTCTTGGATTCAAATTTTAAAAATTTGAGGCAGAAGTTGGTGATTCGCCTTCTGGGCTTGCCTATAAATTGAGGCGTACCCCCTCTCTCCTCCTCACTTTACAAATTTTTTCAAAAATTTCTTGAGAGCTCTGACACCGGCTGCTAATTTGTGCAACCAGTTGCTTCATTCAAACGCATACGGATACCGGTTGAGGACTTCTTCACTTAACTCACACAGGTACCGTCTGACGTGATTTTCTTTCTTAGCTTGATTAGAACCAGAGACGGTCTTACACCGTCTGGGACTCCATAAGCCCTTTTCATGTTTTGCATTTGTTAGACCCACAGACGGTGTGGACCGTCTGGGGAAACTTCAAACCATGATCCTCAAAGATAGACCCTCAGACGGTTGTGGACCGTCTGAGGTATCCTTAAACAATGGACTTTCCACTGAATGCATCCCATAGGCCCACAGACGCGTGAAATACCGCCTGTGCATCTTTAGACTGGTCTTCATGGAGTTGCACTCAAAAGACCCACAGACGGTTACATGCCGTCTGGGGCATCTTCAGACAAGTCTTCATTCTCTCCCTTTTTTTTTAAATGTCCTCAGCCGGAAATATTCCGCCTGGGTCATCTTCAAACAATTGCCTACAAAAAACTTTCATTTCATAGACCCTCAGACGGCTAGGAGCCGCCTGGGGTATCTTCAAACAAAGGATTCTTCAAATCCAGACCCACAGACGGTTTTGGACCGTCTGGGGTGTCTTCAGACCATTGCTTTTCGAACTAGACCCACAGACGGTTATGGTCCGTCTGGGGTATCTTCAGACAATTGTTCCTCAAGACTTGGATCCATGATACCCTCAGCCGGACTTACTCCGGCTGGGGTATGCTCAAGCAATATTCTTCATAACTTGCTCATAATCTGTTCTTGTAAGGCCCTTAGTCGGAGATAATCCGCCTGGGGTATTTCGGAGTAATTTTTATCATAATTTTATTTGCATTCATAAGACCCTCAGCCGGTATTAATGCCGCCTGGGGGGCTTTTAGGCAATCTTCATCGATCCCGCCTGGGGGGTCTTTGAGCAATGCTCCGATATAATTCATTAGAACCTCAGGCGGCTTATATGCCGTTTGGGGTACCTTTGGGCAAGCTTCCTTGATACCGCATGGGGTATCTTTGAATAAAACTTTGTGATACCGTTTGGGGTATCTTTGAACAAGCTTCCTTAATACCGCCTGGGGTATCTTTGAGCGAATTTCCTTGATACCGCCTGGGGTATCTTTGGGTGAGATTTTTCCAAAATGCCTGACTTTGTCTTTGTGCTTCAGGTTTTTAAAACACAAACGGACTTCTCCGCCTGTGGCATCTTCAAGCCACATCTTGGAAACTCAGCAATCAAGTCTTCTTCAACCGTCTTCATAAATTCAAGGTATCGCCCTTGCCCCTTTTGTAACCTCTTGAGTTTACCGGTTGTATAGGTTAGAGAACAATGGACTCTCCCAATACACACACGGCACGGCCTAGGGCAGTTGTCAACCGGTCACCGGATACGGCTGAATCTAGGACTGGGGATGCCGTCTAGGGGTGCATGGAACACCCTTACTTTTCTGCGAATCCAACCGTCTCTGTTCGTGTGCAGGACAGAATGGCTCGGACAAGGAAAACGGTTGTTGACCCCGAGTACAAGTCAGATGATTCAGCCTGTACTCCGGTTGAAGAGATTTTGGAAGAATCCGGGAGCTCAAGCGGTAAAGAAACCGATCAGGAAGCCGGATCTACATAGTCCACCATGACACCGGATGCCCCACAAGAAAATGAGGAGGCATACAACTGGCCTTCAGTAAACAATCCAATGGAGGCGCACATGAGCACCCGGGATGTTGTGACATTAAACGCAACTCTCCCAGCATTTTTGAAAAAGCGTCCGGTAGGGGACGGCTGGGAGTTGGGTGTCCCGCCTGCGAGCGCGACAGTCGTCTGGGAGGATGACTTGGAACATGCCGACAATTACTTCGGCTGCTATGAGGCGGCATTCAAAGCCGGCCTCCGGTTCCCCCTTCACAGATGCATCAAAGCCATTTTAAGAGGCTATGACTTGGGGGTCTGGCAGCTTACACCCAACTCTTGGGTGAACATTATTGGTTACATTACCGCCTGCGACATGCAGGACGTGACGCCTAGCTGGGAGGCGTTCGCGCATATGCACTACTTGAGCCGTGCCCCAGGCGGCTGGAATGCGTGGTACACTCTCACCACGCATCCGGAATATATGATGACCTTGGAGAAGCCCTCCAAGTGGAAGAGCTGGAAGAGCAAGTTTTATTTCGTCTCTTCTCCTTCAACGGCTGCTAATCACTGGATGCGCCGTTACAATAAGAACCCGGCTCTTCTGGGAAAGAAGTGCGCCCTACCAACGGTTCCGGCTGAGGCTTGGGATGCCATAATGGAGCCGGGGCTATTTAAGAAAACCATCGAGCCTTTGGCTGATGGGACACAAATCATTGTCCCTCTATTCTGGGTCCCTCATCCGGACTGGTTCAAAAACGAGGCGTTCCTCTCCGCCTGCGGTCTCAGCACTTTTTGGGACAAAGGTCTACTGCTTAACCGGCAATTTATGCCGCTTGTATGCTGTTTAAATGATGCTAACATTTTCTTGTTATTTTGCAGAGAAAGGGCTAGAAATGACTCCTCCTGAAATGACGCCGGCTAAGTCAGCCGCTGAGATCAGGAAAGAGCAGCTCGAACAGAAGCGAGCCCAACTTGCAACCCGGGCCGGTGGGGTAAGCACCGGCTGTCCCTATGCTGTCTGTATATCTTGCAAATAACTTTGATACCAACTTGTTGATTGTCTTTTACAGACGGGAAGCCAGAACATTCCCCGCTCCATTCGCCAGATGGTGAGGAGGCCGGGTAGAGAGCTTCCCCAACCGCCTTCACAGAGGCACAGGGTCTCAGGCGGCCCTGCACCAACATCAGCCGGAAGAACACCGGCTCCTGAAAGGCCCACGACCGCAGGCAAAAGTCTGCAAAGTCTGGGCTTAGACTCTAAGCCGGCTGAGACTGGATCCAGGGAGCCTGCTCCTTCTACCCGGGTGCCAGCTATTGCATCCGGCTCAAATGCGGCCGGGGGTGGTGGCACCCCTCAGCCTGATGACCAAGGTATCGACTCCGCTTTTGACCCACCCTGGCCGCTTGGCCCAGGTCGGGAACCGGCTGAATGTAGGAGCCGTTTATTCCCAACACTTAACCGATATCTCTCATGATGCAGATACCACTTCTCGCTGGCCGGACATGCAAAACTATGCCAGGAGAATGATAAGGACCCTAACTAGGTCCGAGAGGGAGGCTGTGCCGGGCATCAGCCAGGTCAACCTTGACCGAATTACCTCACTGCTGGCTGAGGTAAGTTACCGGATGTAGTAGTTTTGTGCAATCTGCTTATTTACCGGATGGGGTATTTTTGTGCAAGATTTGCTAGATGATGCCTTTTAGTTCAATTTTGCTAACTCCATTACCGGCTGACCTTGCAGGGGATGCTGAGGGTGGATGGGTTGAAAACCCCCTTGCGGAAGAAGCAAGAGGAGGTAAAAGATGCCCAGAAACGGGCAGCTGAATTAATTGATGTCTGTCAATACAACTCCCTAATGCTTGAAATCCACACTAAAGCCCGGGAGATGAAACAGGAGGAACTCATCCAGCAGCTGACGGCTGCTGCCTATACTGCCAACAAGACGGCTGCCGACCGACAGCTCCAAATCGACCAGCTCAAAACTGACATCCAAGCTCTGAAGGATGCGGAGAAGGAGAGAGCCGGATTGAAGGACGAGGTCACCCGGCTGGAGGGGGAGCTGGACAAAGCCAAAAATGATTTGGTTAAGTCCAAAAAGGAGGCTCTGGACCTGCTGGCGGCTGAGCAGACCCGGCTGGTCAACGAGAACGAGCGTGACTTCGAAGCACGCATGAAGATGGCGTGGTCCATGATCCACCCGGAGACC